CAGACAGAAGATGGGAGCGGGGAGAACGCGGAGGAAAATGGTACTCTACTCCTGGCCAAGAATGGGTTTGGAAGTTGCGGGCATGAGAGGAAGGCTAACGGCCCCAGCCTCACCTTCTTGTCTCTCCTTGTGCTCTGCCACCCAGACTGTACCCTGTAGTACCTGGGAATTCCCGTGTTCCTGATAAAGACATTCGTGTGGGTGATTATATCATTCCCAAAAATGTGAGTAGAGCCTATGGGCCAGTTTTGCTAAGCCAATCCTCGCTATCTGGGCCCTGATCTTATACTCAACTCTTCATAAGCCCTTCAAACCCTCCCCTTGGCCAGAATGCTTCTCTCTGGGACATAATGGGGCAGTGGAAAAATCCTTTCAAAAGCAGCCAGTCCATATCGCCTTTTCTCCTTGTCCCTCCTTGCCTTCCTGGGCCTGAATTGACAAGTTCGTGTTCCTCCCTCACCAGACGCTGGTCACTCTGTGTCATTATGCCACTTCAAGAGACCCTGCCCAGTTCCCAGAGCCAAATGCTTTTCGCCCAGCGCGCTGGCTGGGGGAAGGCCCAGCCCCCCACCCGTTCGCCTGTCTTCCCTTTGGCTTCGGCAAGCGCAGCTGCATGGGGAGACGCCTGGCAGAGCTGGAGCTGCAAATGGCTTTGGCCCAGGTGAGTGATCTAGACCTTCTGCAGACGAGAGAGACCGTAACCCTCTAAAGCTGCGAGCTCTTCTCCTGACAAGCGTAGGAAAACATGTAAGACTTAATGTTTTAAATGCGTCAATCTCATTACAGCCCTGGAAAGTGAATGAGGGAATGTGGACTATTTCCCTACCATAGTCCCTTATCCTGATTAACCAAGGAGTTCACTACCAACCTTGACCATTCTAACACAAATAATGCCCATGACCAAACCAGCCCACCATTGTAGACCCCTCCCGTAATGATAGCTTTCTTCCTCACTTTTCAGATCTTGACTCACTTTGAGGTACGGCCTGAGCCAGGCGCTGCCCCAATCAGACCCATGACCCGGACTGTCCTGGTACCTGAGAGGAGCATCAACCTACAGTTTGTGGACAGATAGTTCTGTGAAGGAGGCTGTTACCACCTTTTCTCTCATCATAGGGGTTTATTAGGCACAAGACCAAGACCTGTGTATTTCCCCTGAGACCTGTCTATCTCATCACACTAGTCAGAAAGATCATAGCAAAGGGTTTGAGGCAGTCCTGGCCAAGGTGTGAAGTATGCATGTGGCCTGACCCAGCAGGCCCGGAGGAAAACCATAGCCCCTCTGCCTGCTCAGCCCTTTTCCTGATCATATCACATGCATCCTTCAAGGGCCAACTCAGACTTTTAACTAATAATGCTGGGTGACCTGAGGAAGAATTCCACCACTGCCCTTTGGGGGCTCCACAGTGTTCATGGATGCTGCTGACCAAGCTCTTTGCATGACATGAGCTAAGTAATTGTGCATCTGGTCTGCACCTGGTCTTCCTTGCATGTGAGCTCTTTGAGAGAAAGGATGAGATCTTTTTTTTTTTTTTTTTTTTAATCAGGTTTTTTTTCTCTCTTTATATATATATATATATATATATATATATATATTTTTTATTGATTTTTTTACAGAGAGAAAGGGAGAGAGAGATAGAGAGCTAGAAACGTCTATGAGAGAGAAATATCGACCAGCTGCCTCTTGCACACCCCCTACCGGGGATGTGCCCGCAGTCAATGTACATGCCCTTGACCGGAATCCAACCTGGGACCTTTCAGTCCACAGACTGACGCTCTACCACTGAGCCAAACCGGTTTCGGCAAGGTTGAGATCTTATTCCGTCTTTTATACCCATGCCAGGGCCTGTCCCTGGGTGACACACAAATTTTCAGACTGAATCTGTACCCTGTAGCAGTAGGGGGTAGCAGCTTACCAGGCTCTGCCTACCCTGTTCCTTCCTCACCTTGCCTCTAGAAAGGTGAGTCTGCCCTTGCCTGGTTTATGATTTTTTAAAAACTATCCTTGCCTCTCTGGTCACTATTAAGTTGGCTTGATTTAGTTCCCAGGCAAAGACATTTCTGCATCTATCCCTGTATATGCCTTTTACATATTGATATTTTTAAATATTCATAGTTTTGAAATAAAATTAAAAAAAAAAAGAATGTTCCCTCCTTGATTTTTGACTTATTTCTCTCCCACTCTCACTTCCTACAAGACCTGGAGGCAAGACCCTCACCCAAATCGCTGACCTTGGTTTCTCAGGCCCTGGGACTAGCCCCATAGCATGGGAGGTCCAGACACCTGGAAGAGAGGTTTGCACCACAAACCCAGACACGTTTCTGTCTGGAGTGGGAACAGCCAAGTCTGGCTCCCTGGAAGAGGGTATGAGGGTGGTGGTGAAAGGTAACCACAAGGGCGAGCTGTAAAAAAGGGTTGGGAGCTAGGGATTTGCAGAGATGGCCAGAGGTGGCTGACTCTTTGGTAGAAATGTTTATGGAACCTGAACTGAAGGACATCCTAGAATGGCCACTCACCTCTCTGGAAAAATTGTTCCAAGGTCTTTTCCTTTGGAGAAAGACAGGAATACAGCCCGAGAAGTGAAGTCAGACAGGATGAAAGCTCAGTGTGGGGGTGGCCAGAAGCCCTGGGGCACCACGGCATAAAGGGGCTGGGCAGAGGGAGCCTGTTTCCCTGGGTCAGCACTCTCTGGCCCCCCAGAAGTTGGGCACAGCCCTCCCCTTGTGATGTATACAGATGAACTCATCTTCCATATAAATAAATCTCTCAGCACACTCCCCGCAGCTCCCTCTGAGGGTAGCCTAGATTACCTTCCCCATGCCAGGACTTGTCCCCCTTCCTCCTGCTCCCTCCACTCCCCATTCCAATGAGCTAGATGGAGATGGAGATTTCGCTTCACACTTCCTCCTCCTCCCACCATCTCAGGCCCCTGACCTAGACATGGCTCCCTGACCACAGGAACTTCATTAACCACCAAGCCTTCTGGGGAGTATCTATTTATGTAAAATCTACACAGGAGCAGGTTGTACCCAAGGCTCAGCGCAGAGACCAAGGTTTATGTACCTGTACTGTCCCTTCTCTCAACTCCGGTACTACACTCGATCCCCATCCCCATTCCCCTATCACTGAACTCAACCCAAACTTAAGTGACCTGATTTTTAGCAGACTTGAGCTTTGAAAGAATAAAGCCCCAATTCCTCTCAGATCTTTCCCCCTGAACTTAGTGATGCAGGCTCTGACACCCACGGCTCCATTGGGCAAGTTGGACTACTCACTTGAGGAGGGCAACAGCTTCCATGACCCCTTTTCTGGATAAGATTCTCTTTAAGTTAGAAAAGGGAAGGATAGGGGACAGTACTGATTGCTGGTCCCAAACCAATACCAGGACATCTAGTGGTACTGAAAGGAAGAGGATTATATTGTCTCACTTGGCCTGGTTTTAGGACCCAGTGTCCAAATGGAGACAGTGTGTTTGTGTGCCTATGATCTTGGGTTTAAATTTCCGTGTGGGCCATCACGGGGGCAGCCCAGGCTTGGCACAGGAAACCCCAACTGTGTGATACCTACCTGAACCCTATCTGCCATCATAGGCACTAGTTAGTCACTCTAATTTGCTGTCTCCCATCTGATAGTTGGTCCCCGCCAGCTATCTGGTGACTAGCAAATCAGTAAAGTCTGGCTCTTCTGTCTGCCCAAGTAAGGAATGTGGAGGTTTACTTCTCTGGAAAAACAATTTTCCCCTGGAATGTGGGGGATGAGAGAGCGGGATATGGCTCAGCTTCAGTTCCCTCTCCATGTTGATTCCTGGAGGTGACACACTTCCCACACGGCCAGGTGACTGGTATCTATACCTCCAGGCAAGGCTGGGTGCTAGCACCATGGACAGCAGCAAAGACCCCTTTTAGAGAGGGGGTAGGAGATAGCCAATAGCAGGCAAGGATATGTGACCTTTAGCAGATAAGCATTTCCCCCAAAACATCCCCAGGGAGCATACAGAGCAGACCTTCTCTGAGAGAAGGACTAATAATAGGAAAGGCCTCTGGATCTGACTTTAGCAAAGTGTGAAGTAATTAATTTAATTGCTGATGAGTAGTTCACTTAAAAGATACCATCATTCATAGAACACACAGCTCCAAGAACTCAGGAGAAAGGGCTGAGGCTTCAGGCTGACCCACATTTTAAGCAGTCCTTCCCAAATTTTCTCTCTAGACAAGTGCCCTCTGCACTGCTGTCTCCAAGCACAATACTTCCAGGTAATACCACTAGCTGAGACACACCAGGACCAGACCTATAAGCTGGAGACCCATATCATGGAAGGATTCTATCCATCTCACTCCAAATAAGTCCGAATTCCCTTCACACCACTTCTCCGCGTGAGCACAGGGCCTGAGAAGGACTAAGAATCCAAATGATCCCCAGAGCAAGAAGGAGAGCTCCCGCCTTTCTCTGCCCTCTGTTTAGGGCATTGGAGGAGCTCTCATTCTTACAAATAACCACCATCCTGCACATTTGCAATGTCTAGTTTCCCTCATATTTACATATCTATGACACTCAACACACATTCCCAAGGCTCCGTGCAACTCCAGATAAAAAACACACTTTGAAAGTTGTTAACCAGCTCCTATTTGAAATAAATGGACCATCATCTACAGTATAAATCTTTTTATGCCATCATTGATTTTCTTTGCAACCTGTCCCTTCTTCTTCTTCTTTTAAATATATTTTTATTTATTTCAGAGAGGAAGGGAGAGGAAGAGAGAGATAGAAACATCAATGATGAGAGAGAATCATTGAACAGCTGCCTTCTGAAAGCCCCACAATGGGGATCGAGTCAGCAACCTGGGCATATGCCCTGACCGGGAATCGAACCGTGACCTCCTGGTTCATAGGTCAATGCTCAACCACTGAGCCATGTCGGATGGGTGCAACCAGCCCCTTCTTTATCCTCATTCCAACCCTATGAGGTAGACAGGAAAGCCACAGTGGAGAGATTTTTTTGTAAATCACAAACTTGGACGTGGTAGGTCCACCCTTTAGGTACCTCTGAGCATTGCCATCCAGCAGCCAACATGAATTATTCACCAGCAAGTGGGAGTTACACCTCCAACTCAGAGCCCACTGCTGCATTTGGGATTTGTAACCTCTGTAGAGAAGCCTCCCCACACCTCCCAACCCTCCAGAGAAGCCCCAGATGAGAAAGGAGTCTCCATGTGCATATAAATGATTCTTTATGCCCTCCCCCCATGCATTGGGGGGCAGAGCAGGGGAAGCCCCCCGCCCTCATGCAGGGAACGGGAGGTCAATGTATACTAGTCTTATTGCCAGCTGCCCTGTGGCCATGGGGTGGGGAATGGGGGGGTCTACAGCCCCTTTCTTCTGGCATTGGTTCCCCCTCACCAAGTCACCATGGTAGAGCTGAGGGGCTGGAGGCCCTAGGAGCTGAGGTAAGGACGGTTCTCTGGGGAAGAAAAGCTGTTCTCCCCACGTGCCCACTGGCTGCCCCAGGATGAGTGCGGGGAATTGTCAGTGGGGGCTGGAATGTCATCCACGTGTATCTACCCAGTGGGCAGAAGCCAGACAATGTCTCCAGCTTGAGGCTGCCCACAGAGCTCTTCAGCGGTGGGAGCAGTGTGCCCCAAACATCTGGTCCGGGCGGTACCTCCAGCAGTCATGATAGCTCCTCTCTGGCCAATGCACTGACTCAAGATCCCAGCTCCCGGAGTTCAGTTCAGACTGTGGTGACCCTCATGACAACCTCTCGGCCGGAATGGGAGCTGGAACGCGCGTCCGGTGGCCGAAGCTGTCCCAGGAGGTGCAGGATTGTGTAACCACAGCGCTGAGGCAAGAGCGTCCGCATGCGCTGGGCAGCCGGGGGGCGGCTGGTGGCCCCAGAGGGAGGGCTCGTCCGTGAGGTCCTGGGGCCTGGCTTCCCTGCCGTCCCTCCCCCTGCATCTCCTCCTACGTCCTTGGTCTTGTCATAGTTCAGGACCTTCCACTGCTGGTTCACTGCCTGCCATCGTTTGAAGATGCGGTAGACAGAGGAGCCTTCATGGACAATGAGTCCTAAGGAAGAGGGAGAAGATATCCAGGGTCAACTGCTGCTCAGACCCAGGCTAGAGGTGCTTAAGCAAACATTTTTCAGAGTGAGGAGAGAGGGTTGCAAAAGACCTGGAGAAGCTGGGAAGGGAGGGGCACCAAGATGGCCCTGAAGGCTCTCAATGGTTGAAAATGTGGCCATGAGGCTGAAGGAACGGGGAGGGGAAGTGAAGTGTATGAGTGAGAGGAAGCTGCCCCTCAGGTTAAAGGGAGAGAGGTGCCCTCACCTATGCAGACGACATCCATGAAGCCATACATGCCGTAGCAGATCTGAAACAGCAGATCCTGTCGTTGCCACTTGGCTGAAGGGCTGAGTGAGGACCAGATGAGCCAGGAGATGCTGGCGACGAGGAAGAGAGAGCCCAGGACTATGGCGGCAATCTGGACCTTCTCAATGACTGTCAGGGAGATGGCTTGCCACTGTGTGGGAGAAAGGGTTCCAAAAAGTCACAGAAAGAGATGGAGGGCTGGGTGATGGTTTAGCCCCGAAAAGCAGGATGCTCCGGGAGTCTTCCTGAAACCATCCCGGCAGGACGAACATGTGTCTCCTCTGTGCCCCGATCAAACCCAGGCTGTGGCCTTGCTCAAGGTGTTGGAAACCATGGGTCTGTCTTAGTTTAGAAAGGCAGGATGAGCAAGTGCTCTGAAGCCAGACCATGTAAGTTTGAATTCCAAATTCTAACGCCATCACTTCCTGGCTGAGTAACCTTGGGCAAGTATTCAAATCTCTTTGTGCATCCATCTTTAGGATGAGGATAATATTGGTATATAACTAATAGGATTATTATAATGATTAAAAGTTAATACACACCGCCCTAGCCAGTTTTGCTCAGTGGATAGAGCATCGGCCTGGGGACTCAAGGGTCCAGGTTGGATTCTGGTCAAGGGCACATCCCCAGTAGGGGGTGTGCAGGAGGCAGCTGATCGATATTTCTCTCATCGATGTTTCTAACTTTCTATCTCTCTCCCTTCCTCTCTATAAAAAAATCAATAAAATATATTGTTTTAAAAAGTTAATACACTCCAAGACCTTGACACAAAGAAAACCCTACATATTTGCTATCACAATTGATATTGTTATCTTTTTCTTTCTTGTTGTCCCACTGCCTAGAACAGTGCCTGGAATAAAGGTGGCACTGAATAAAGTCTTTGTAAATAAACGAAGAAAGGGAGGACTTACAGAAAGACAGGAAATTGTGGGGAGGGGTAAATAAATGGATGCAGTAGGCTCCCGGAGGGTTCCTGACTCTGAATGCTGCAAGGCCCTTGCTCCAACCGGAGAGTCCCGTCCTGGCACCTCACCTGCAGTGGGTTCTTGGTGCTGATGGCCAGGACCTGATACTTGAAGTAGCAGAGCTCACAGCTCCAGGAGCCCCTCTCGCTAATCCAGCGGATGAGGCAGGGCTGGTGCGTGCAGCGCACGGAGCCGTCACAGCGGCAGGGGCTCAGGAGCTCCCCCTGGAGGAAGAGGGATGAGAGTGATGTTAGCTATCGCCACCGGGACCCACTTCTCTCCGCTCGGGGGGAGAAAACCCTCCTGTCCAGGCCAGCCATTCTCCCACCCTAGAAGAGCTCAGGCCTTTCACCCCAAACAGGCCAAGAGGCTAAGGCTGCAGGACAAAGAAAAAAGTTAGAGCTCCAGGTAAACTTCCCTGACCAAACGAATGAGGAAGAAAAGGGATCGGAGAGGAGGTGGGGAAGTGGGTCTTCTCTTTGCCCAGAATTTGGAGAGGGTGGTCTTTTCGGGAGTTCCCACTGGAAGGCTACCCCTTAGGATCTGAAGGGTGAGGGTTAGGGCTTCAGAGCCATGCCTTCCTCCCGGCTCCATCCCTGTAAAGTATTTCACAGGTGACGTCCTCTGTTTGCAAGTAACAAAAGGGAGAAGGCATTCTGGGGGGTGGGAGTACAAGGTGTTCCCTTTTAATCCAGGAGTAATGTCTCACCGCACAGAGACATCCCCTGCACTATCCCGAGACAACTTTGTCCACAACATTTACACAAAGAGGACTCTCTGGAATGAGATGGCAAGTTGTAGCACGGGAAGTGAAGGAAAGTGCCCCACGGAGAGAGAAAGCCTGAAAGAGGCGAGGGCGCCGATGGCCCTCCCTTCCAGGTGGGAACAAGCGCTCCCCTCGGCCATCTCCTCAGCCCACAAAGACCCCCGGGGGGGGGGGGAGAGGATGGGGGAGAAGATGAGGAAGAGGATGGGAAGAAAGGCAGTCCCCGCTTACGGGTGAGGGGTGAGGGATGTGAAGCCTGGCCAGGAGAAAGACCCACCCCTTCCTGGGGACTCTTGCTCGCCCTCCACCTTAAACGGACGCTCTGGGCGTCTCCAGCCGGTCCCCCAACCTCCCCCTATTCCCACTGGGGTCCCGGGTCCCGCCCCGCCTCCCAGGCCCCGCCCCCCCGCTCGCGGGCTCCCCGGGCGCCCCAGGTGGGCGCCCCCACCCCGCCCGGCCCCGCCCCGCCCCGCGCGCGCCCGGCCTGACCTGCTCGGGGCCCTGGAAGCAGATCCGGCACTGGGGGGTCCGCAGGCCGCTGTCCAGGCTGCTGCTGAGCGACAGGGCGTCCAGCGCGCCCGGGGGCGGCGGCGGCGCGGGCGGCGGCGGGGGCCCGGCCCGCGGCTCCTTGTCGCCCGCCAGGCCCCGCGCGCGCGGCCCGGGCCCGTAGTACTCCTCCTCGTCGCCGGCGCCGCCGTCCCGGGCCGCGCAGCCGGCGAAGGGCGCCCAGCCGCAGCCGCCCCCGCCCCCCCGGGGCTGCGGCTCGGCGCGGGGCCGCCCCCCGCCCGCCAGCACCAGCAGCTTCAGCTCGTTCAGGAACATGCGGAGCCGCGACTTGAGCATCGTCCGGGCGCCGCGGGGCGGGGGGCGGCGCGCGGGGGGCTCGGGGCGGCGCGGGGAGGGGAGCGCGGGGCCGGCGCCGGGGAGCCCAGCCCCGCCGGGGTCCTCGGGGCCCGGGGGCGCCGTTCACGGCCGCCACCGCCGGGGCTTCGGGGCTGGCGGCGCCGGGAGGGCGGGCGGCCCGGGGGCGGCGGGGCGCGCAGCCATGGCCCGGGCGGGGGGCGGGGAGGGGGCTCAGGGCGCCGCGCCCCGCGGGTCCGGGTCCGGAGCGGGCCGGGCCCCCGGGGTTACGCGCCCCGATCCTCCTGCGGCGGGGCCGCCCCCCATCGCCGTGCTCCCGGCCCCAGTCCCGCCTCGGCTCCCGGCTCCGGCTCGGCTCGGCCCGTGCGCTCGGCGGTGGCAAATGGCGGCTCCTTCCGGCGGCGGCGGCGGCGGCGGAGACCCCCCCACCCCCGGAGCGGCGGCGGGAGGGGCGGGCGGGGCGGGCGCGGGGAGCCGGTGAGGGATGGAGGGAGGGGCGGGGAGGGGGAGAGGGAGAAGTGGCCGCGGCTGCGCATCCCCGCCCTGCCCGGCTGGAGCAGGTGTCCCTGGGGGGGCGGGGGGGGGCGGGGAGGGGAGTGTGTGCAGCCCTGGGGAGGATGGAAGGAGGGGAATGTCCGAGGAAGGAGAGTGTGCACACGGGTAGGAGAATAGGTGTGTGAAGGGTAAGGGTGGAGGGGAGTGGGTGCTCAAAGACGCAGGTGCACCAGAGGGGGAGAGGCTTGTGCAAAATGGGAGTGTGCAGAGAGGAGGCTGTGCAAGGGGTCTGCGCTCTGAGGGAGGGAAGTGAGCGAGAGAGAGACTCAAGCAGTGAACACTTACACAATGGACTGAAAGGTGTGCCTGGTATGGGACTGTGAAAGAGGTGAAGGAGGGTGTAATGGATGGAATCTGGTTGCATGAGAAATGAAATGTGTGATTGTAATGTGTGAGGTAGGTGAGTGAGCAAGGGAGATAGGAGTGCTAAAGGGATGAGAGTGTCTTTCCTGGCTTTCTCCTTCCCTTGCCGCCACCACACACACACACACACACACACACACACACACACACACAGCTCTTTGCTTATAGGGGGGCCTTGTCCCTGAGAACCAGTTCTACCCCCTTACTAGGTCTGCTTTACACTTCCAACCTTCCTCTCCTCCCTTTTACAACGCTGAGGGAAAAGGGATTCCAGAGGAGCCCATTGGGTCAAACGCGTTGCAAAAAAATTAATTAGTAAGAGAGTAATTAACAGAAGGGAGGGTATGGAACCAGGGACAGACTGCCAAACCAAGGCTCCTTATAGAAAGTGACTGAGGAGAGAAATGCTCTTAGGAAGCATTCAAACGCATTGGATGGATGGATAAATGAATGAATCAGAAAAGGGCTGGAACCCAAGCCAACATAGAGGATGACTTCTTTTTTAAATTTAACTTACGGGGGTGACATTGGTTCACAAAACCATTCAGGTTTTAAGTGTACAACTCAACAAAACATCATCTGCACACCGCATCATGTGCCAAAGCAAAGGCTTTCAGTCTCCACTTATGCCTATTTTGCCCACCTCGACCTATTCCCCCACTTTCCCTCTGGCTATCACCACACTGTGTGTGTGTGTGTGTGTGTGTGTGTGTGACTTCTAAAGACAGTGAGCTGTGGTGGGCTTATGTGCAAGGCAAGGCTGAGATAGAATCCACTAGGGTAGGAAGTTTGGCACACATTCAGGTAGCATTTCTGAAGGCTTACAAACCAACCGATTCTGACAAGATAGCCAAGGAAACATTCACCTCACAAGCCCCATAGCCAGTTCAGACCTTGAGGTTTTTCTTTTCTTTTTTTTAATTTACTTATTGATGAGAGAGAGACATCAAATTGTTGTTCCACTTATTTATGGATTCATTGGTTGCTTCTTCTTATGTTCCCTGACTGGGGATCCAACCCACAACCTTGGTGTATCAGGAAATGCTCCAACCAATAGAGTTATCCCGCCGGGGCTTGAGGTTTTTCTTACTAGTCCTAGCTGCCCTTACCAGCGAGGGCTCAGACTTACTATCAGAATGCAGAGGGGGAATCTCTGCTGACATATCTTCCGTTTTGCCCTGGAGCATGCTTTATATTCTCAAGCCTGAACTCTTACATCCTCAGCCAGATGGTTAAAGAGAATAGAAGTTAGGGTAGAAGGAATGAGAAATAGAGTAATAAAATGGTTTTATTTTATTTTTATTTATTTTAAATATATTTTATTGATTTTTTTACAGAGAGGAGGAAAGAGGGATAGAGAGCTAGAAATATCAATGAGAGAGAATCATCAATCAACTGCCTCTTGCACACCTCCCACTGGAGATGTGCCCGCAACCAAGGTACATGCTCTTGACCGGAATCGAACCTGGGACCTTTCAGTCCCCAGGCCGACGCTCTATCCACTGAGCCAAACCGGTTTCGGCTTATTTTTAAAGACTAATTTATGAATTTTTAGAGAGGAAGGGAGAAGAGAGAAACATCAGTGTGAGAGTTTAACATAGATTGGCTACCTCCTGCACGCCCCCTACTGGGGATCAAGCCTGCAACCAACCTGGGCATGTGCCCTATCTGACCTGCAATCAACCAGCAACCTTTCTGTGCAGGGAGGGCGCGCAGTCAACTGAGCTACACTGGCCAGGGCTGGTTTCAGATTTTAGACAAGTTGTTACACATGAGACACTGATTCCTTCCTTCCGTTACTCCCATCCCCGCAAAGGGTTGGGAGATAAGGAAGTTGGAGTCAGTAAATCGTGGGAAGCCAGAGAGAAACCTGCCCCTTGTCTACTCTGTATCTGCGAGCAAAGGCCATTTGGAAAAGATTGTGTTCAGGTATAGGGGCAAGGGCTAAGAAAATTTGCACTGGAGGAAAGGAGCACAATGATGCCATATAATGAGCCACAGGTTTGCAGAAGAGCACAAGCCATTCCCATGTAATGTGATGGTCTGAGGTAGTGGCTGTGGTAATTTACTGCACATGCTCACTCATGTATGTTTTTTTCCTATGTATGACATATATATCATACACATACACACATATATCACAATATCTTAGTGCTGAGATGAACCTACCTCCCAATCATTGAAAACTTCTCTGCCAGAAGGCACGTGGTGGAAATTGGGAAGTGGGAAGGGTACTGCCCCTGTTCCTATTGGATTACTGTATTAATGTGCCTTTCATCAATCCTTTCATCCTAGCTTTGCCCTCACATTGGCACTGTCTACTTCCTATTTTGTGTGCACCCTGTTGGCTACATATTTACAGATAATTTTTTTCAAAATATATTTTTTATTAATTTCAGAGAGGAAGGAAGAGAGAGATAGAAACATCAATGATGCTCCCGCCCCTCCCCCGCTCCCCCCACTGGGGATCGAGCAGACTCCCTTGGCGGGAATCAAACCTGGGACTCATCAGTGCGCAGGCCAACGCTCTATCCACTGAGCCAAACCTGCTAGGGCTTTGCAGATAGTCTTATCACTACTTAAAAGGGCTTGTGACTGAGACACCAAAAAAACAAACAGACCCCAAAACAACCCCACCTCCCCACGGGAAGCAAGCACTCAGTGAAAACTTGTTGAATGAATGAGTGAATGGAACAAAGACACCAGTGAGACTACGTTCTCCCACGGCAGTGTGAGCAGAAAGGCCAGGGCACCACCTCCCGTCCCCCGACTCCCGCGCCCCTCCCCCAGACGGAGAAACCGGGAGTGAGACCGGAGAAGGCCGGCAGCCCGCAGCTGGGATCTGGGTGGCCCAGGTTGCCATGGCACCGGCTGGGACTCCACCCTCTCCCTTCTCCCCGCCCCCCCCTGCCTACCTCCACCTCCACACACCCCCCCCCTCCGCTTGGGTAGTGGCAACTGGTCACGTGCTCTGCCGGGTAACCACACCTCTGCTCCTCAGAGCAATAGCCTGCGGTCACGTGGGATAGCAACAGGTCACGTGGTCGCCGTCGTCCCTCCTCCCTATCCTCCTCGCCGCCCCCAACCGGGCGAGGCCACTCCCGGCCCCTCTGCGCACGGGTGGCTGGTGACGTGCCCCGCACGTCCGGCGCTCGCCCCTCCCCCCGGGTTTCCGCGCGCCTCTGGCAGCCGGTCACATGGTGAGGGGGGCGGAGCGGGCGGGGGAGAGGGGTCCGCTCTAGCCCGCGGCCTGTGTCTGCGGTCGGGCCCGCGCGGTCCAGCTGCTCCTGGCCCGGCTCGGGTGTATGGCTCCGCGGGAACCGGCTCCTGGGCCCCGATAACGGTCCGCCCCGCAGTCCCCGGCGCGGGGAGAAGTAAGAGCAGCCCCTTCCCGGGGCGGGAGACCGTTCTCAGCCACCCCGGGTTCCAGGCGGGCTCGTTCCAGAGGGGTCGCTGGAGGGGGAGGGACGTGGGCCGGGGCGGAATCTGGTCCTTTGTAAGGGGTCGTGGGAGGTGCAGTGTTAGGGCTGGGGTGTAGGATCTTGGATGCAGGGGGTGTGTCGTGTGGGCTCTTCCTTTGTGGCCGGCGCGATGGCGCCAAAGGAAGAGAGGTGGGTTTTTTTGTTTGTTTTTTTTAATTCTAGGGCCTCACGTGGCTGAAGGGGTTGGGGCTGGAGTCATTGTATTACCTGAGGGGCGGGCCTGGCCTCTCGGAAGACTGGGAAGGGGGAGGGGTGCTGGTGGTGTGTCTTTGTGATGTGTTCCCCCCCCCTTTTTTCTGGAGTTACTTTGTTGCTGTATGCTCAGGCCTTCCGAACTCTGGAAGGGATTCGGTAGGAGTCTCTGTGATTGTAGGGTCTTCTCTGATCCGAGAATGGCTACCCTTCGGTATGAGCCAGTGGCTGAGATTGGTGTTGGTGCCTACGGGACGGTGTACAAGGCCCGTGATCCACACAGTGGCCACTTTGTGGCCCTCAAGAGCGTGAGAGTCCCCAATGGAGGAGGTGGCGGAGGGGGCCTTCCCATCAGCACAGTTCGCGAAGTGGCCTTACTGAGGCGGCTGGAGGCTTTTGAGCATCCCAACGTTGTCCGGTGAGAAGGAGGAGGGTTGGGGGTGGATAATAAAGGGGGAAAGACACCTGTATGTGGGGCGTGGTGGTGGTCTGGAGAGAGGTGAGGATCCTGAGGAAATAGAATAGGGAAGGTCATGTTGAGGCCAAACGGGATTGATCCATGAGTAACCCACCGTTTGTTCCGGCCAGGCTGATGGATGTCTGTGCTACCTCCCGAACTGACCGGGAGACCAGAGTGACCCTGGTGTTTGAGCATGTGGACCAAGACCTACGGACGTATCTGGACAAGGCACCCCCACCAGGCTTGCCAGTGGAGACCATCAAGGTGTGTGGGGTGGCCAAAACCAGTTTGGCTCAGTGGATAGAGCATTGGCTTGGGAACTGAGGGGTCCCGGGTTCAATTCCGGTCAAGGGCGTGTACCTTGGTTGCGGGCACATCCCCAGTAGGGGGTGTGCAAGAGGCAGCTAATCGATGACTTTCCCTCATCGATGTTTCTAACTCTCTATCTCTCTGTACAAAATCAATAAAATATATTAAAAAAAAAAAAAAAGTGCGTGGGGTGGGCAGACGACGAGAGAGGTACATTGGGGCCCCAGCCATTGTGGTTTCGGGTATGGCGCCTAGTTTCCAGTTGCTCTGTACCTCCCTCCCTCTTTCAAACCAGGATCTGATGCGCCAGTTTCTAAGAGGCCTGGATTTTCTTCATGCCAATTGCATTGTTCATCGAGACCTGAAGCCAGAGAATATTCTGGTGACAAGTGGCGGGATAGTCAAGCTGGCCGACTTTGGCCTGGCCAGAATCTACAGCTACCAGATGGCACTTACACCTGTGGTCAGTAGAAAGATGTTAGCCAAAATGGGTTCTGGTTGGGGGGTAGGAAAGTGCCCAGTAGCAGTCGAGAAGTCATGTGTTTTGTGCTTTATGGCAAGCCATAGGGCCCTGTTCACTCTTTTAATTCCCATTAGGTTGTTACGCTCTGGTACCGTGCTCCGGAAGTTCTTCTGCAGTCTGCATACGCAACACCTGTGGACCTGTGGAGTGTTGGCTGCATCTTTGCAGAGATGTTTCGTCGAAAGTAAGGGACCCAAGGATCCTGAACTGTTTTGAACTTCCCAAATCTCTTAAAAATCATCTCCATATCTTGCCCATGCTCTCACTTGAGTTCTACTGACCACCTTGTCTGTAACTAGAAGCTCTGAGATGGAATTAGGAACTTATTATCCCTTTAGTTTCCATACCCTCTGTTTGACCCACTTAAGCAGTAACCATTCTGCTACCACATCCTCGAAAATGATGTTGTGTCCCTTCTCGCCTTAGGCCTCTCTTCTGCGGAAACTCTGAAGCTGACCAGTTGGGCAAAATCTTTGAGTAAGTGACTGGCAAGGGGAAAAACATGTTCGTTCTGGTAGCATTTGGCTCTGCCCCGGGGTGGAGCCTGGGCGGACCTCCCTGACCAGAGTCTTCCTATTCCCCATAGCCTGATTGGGCTGCCTCCTGAGGAGGATTGGCCCCGAGATGTGTCTCTACCCCGAGGAGCCTTCCCCCCCAGAGGACCCTGCCCCGTGCAGTCGGTGATACCGGAGATGGATAAGTCTGGAGCACAGCTGCTGCTGGTACTGGGTTTGGGCAAGGGAATGGGGTGAGATTGGGGTGAAAAATGTAGTCATAGAAAAGGGACGCAAACCATCGCGGTTCCTGAGACTCGGTTGTTGGATGGGCTAGTCTTTTGCTACTGTGACTGGCCATCCACAAGGAGGACTGTAGAAAAGAGCCCATCCTAGTATTGTTGAGGTTGAGCAAAAGTCATTTTTTGTTTTTGCTTTTTCCCTTCACGACTTTCGGACCTTTGTTTCCCCTCTCAGGAGATGCTGACTTTTAACCCACACAAGCGGATCTCTGCCTTCCGAGCCCTGCAGCACCCTTACCTACAAAAGGAAGACGGTGACCCAGAGTGAGTGGTGGAGAGGCCGCAGCAGAACCAAGAGAAGCTGTCGTTGACCTTTGAACACTAGAGTGCAGAGCCTCCCACCGAGGAGGCGCTCTGTGTCTTTTTATCCGAGGCTGCGGAGACACTTCCTCCATTTTTACAGAGAATATCTTGCTGGCTGCCTTAATGACATTCCCCTCCCGCTCCTCCTCTGGGGATTATCCTTCTCCTGCCCTCCTGCTTCCTTATACCAAGGAGTGTGTCCCTTTTCTCCCCTTCCTTACCTTGATATTGGGACCCTTTTTTATATGGGAGGAAAAAAACAAAACAAAACATTTCTTTTTAATGTTTCTTCCTTTGATTGGCTTTGCCATTTGGGGATTTGGAGAAACCACTTGGCAGGTAGATTCTCCTTAGGTAACAGGGCCTGCATAGTCAGTGGAGCCCCTCAACTGGTAAGAGAAGACAAGGCAGGCATTTGCTGCTTTGTATTGGAGTTTAAATGGCTTTTATTTTTATATTCATTGACCTTCCTCCAAAACAGTCCTGTTATTACAAGAAAAATTTCTTGGTGGTTCTCTCTCTGGCTCTGTCCTTGGTTTCCTCTTGGAGCCAGGCCAGGATGGATTGTGGTGGTCTGGCATGTGGAAGGGAGAAGAGGGGAAACAGCCAGGAATGACTCCGACCCCATACCATCTCATGCACTCCCAGGAGCTTCCCATATCCACTCAGGGAAAGAAGAGGCTTCTCTGTATTCCTCATAGTCTTGTCAAGGCAGAGCGCCTGGCTATTCAGGCACCTTTAGGGGAGGGCAAAGGGCCTTTCCTCTTTCTCAAACAAAAAAGGTCACTGACCCTGGTTTTCCCTAAGGGAGGAAGAAAAAGCTTAGGGAGAACAGAAGAGAAGTCAAAAGGACCCAAAGTCTCAGAGAAAGGCACTGGGGTTGGCACGAGGATCCTTCTGATTCCGAAATCTCATTGCGAGCCAGACACCAAGGATCTGTAGAAGCAAAGGGAGAAAGATAAGCACCAATTCTGAATTTCAGGCTGACTTAACAGATGTAGAGAAAGGGTGCACATGAGAGAACTGGAGAACATTACCTCTGTAAAGCTAAAGAAGAGTCCAACACCCCCCAGGATTTTTAGGGCTTCATCTGAATGTTTAAGAAACTTTTCTCCACACATCTGACATGTGGGTCTCCGGCTCTTGCAGACCTAGGATAAAAAGTGTGTGGAGGATGAGTTGCTAAGAGATGCCCTGTCCCAACACCTATGATAAATGACACTAGAAATGTACCAGTTTTGATCAGTATCTGACAGATTAAAATCCCATTTAGCTAGTTCTCTATAGCTTTTGGATCCAAACCCACTTCCAACACAGCAGCTCACAGCCCCAATACAAAAGAGCTACTAGAGGCAATCCTATTCAAACTAAAACCTACCAATTTAGGCACTGTTCTTCCCCAGTTTTCCTACCCACCCTTCCCCGCCAACTCACTGCAGTGCAAAAAGCATAATCTTGTTGATACATGGTTGTGAGGTTGAATAAGCCACAACAATCAAAACTTCTTTCCAGTTCATCCCGAGTCTTGTTGCTCATGACCCACCAAGAAGCATTGATGACATCTGTCTGGAGGATATATAGGCAGAGGGAAATTATTTGATGCTGCTTACCTTAAGATTCTCCCTACATTTTGATCTCAGTTCAAGTACCTCAATTTACCTACTCCAGCAAAGGGAGTCCACATCAGGCAGTGTGTGTGTGTGTGTAGGAGTGTATCAGTTACACCGGCCCAATGATAATATAGCCACCTCTTACATTCTCATGGGAAATTAGCCAGACATCCTAGGGAAGCAAATGGCTCGAGTCTGGAAGTGGTAGATCTAAGAATGATCTTTGGGGCAAGACTGTTAGGGAGTTAGAGGTTAGAGAAGAATGCAAGTGCTTGAAAGTTTGCTTACCTGTTTGCTTCGGTTAATGGCCAGGCATGACCAAGAGATTCCAAATTGGAAGACGAAGACCAAACCAAGGATGATCATGTACTGAGAGGAAGAGTTATGGGGAAAAAAAGTCCTAACTTCCTTTATGTTCCACGTCTAACAATCATCTGATTTCATCTATTCATAGAATCTGATTTCATCTATTCATAGAACTTATACAACCATGTCGGTTGAAAGCAATAAAATCATCAGCCCCAGTTTCATAGAGCAGAGCAAAGACATGTCCCCCCAGACCCCTGAGGTCTGATTTCTTCCTAGCCCACTCAGCCCTCCCAAGAATTCTAAGTGCCCCGTCACTGGGTCAGGATACAAAGAACAGCAGAACTTGGTGGTGGTTAATAGCACCAACCAGTCCAGCCACTGCGATGAGCAAGAGGAAGACTCCCACAGCAATGACTCCTCCGATGATATGGATGCTGGACACCAGACCCAGGCCCTTACCCCAAGCAGCCACTCCGATGAGCAATAAGCCTACCAGCTACAAGAAACAGAAAGCAGGATACAGATCAGAACTCTACCGTGCAGCACAGCCAAAGGCCTGACAGGGCACCCGGGACTAGAAGGAGAGGAGGTGCTATGGGAATCCGTAACATCCCTGGGCACTCCTACCCTAGGTCAGAATGCTGGGATGGAGTGGGGGTGGGGGCTTGCAGGATAGTAATCTATGAATATAAAAACCGAACCTTTCCCTTCATCCATCACTTCTGTTTTGTGAGAAACTGAAGTTCACAAAAAGGAGGGAGCAGTCTTTGTACCCACAACACCTAGTTCATTCCCCCACCCCCAAACCAACCCTCCGATCACCGGAAGTCTCCCCTCTACCCGCGGAAGTCCCCAGGAATTCCCTCTTCGCCGGAAGTTCCTGGGAACCTTCCTGGAACACCCAGTACACCCCTCTACCCACCGGAAGTCCCCTGAATAACCTCCCCACTCGCATCTCCACCTAGGAGCTTTCCCCACCTCCAAAGCCTCACCATGTAGACCACGTTGAGCGCGCACAGTGCATTCTTGGAGCAGGCAAAGCCACCGCAAACCATCTCCCCAGCTTTGGGGACCCAAGCGGTCCCAAGGACTTAGGGAGAGGGTCTGGGGACAGTCTTCCCGGACCCCGACAGCTTCTGTCTCTTTAAATCTAGTCCACCCAAACCCAATTCTCTGCGCCTGCACCGTCCCACCCCTGCCTCTGGATTGGAGAGACTCAGGGCTAAAGCAGGACGTCGACGGCCTGACTGCCAATCAATCTGCATTGCGTTACGGACCCGCCTCCCGGCCCCTCCTTTAGGTTCTTTATAGGATGAAACTTAAGAGTGAAGGCAGGGCTTGCGAAGATTCGCCCAGAGATCGGTGCCTAAACTTGGAATCCCCGGATTGAAAGTGAAGCTTTCCCTCGCCGCAGCTGGAAGAGACTGATCCTTGGGAGGAGGTTTCGGAGAAACTCCGGCGGCGAAGAGAGAGAAGACAGGACTGTCCGGGCTAGGCGCAAGGGCTCCTCCCTTGTCCTGCAGTGACCTCACGATGATGCCATTGTTTGTTGTTATTGCATCACACCCGGGAACACCCAGATGAGCAAAATATTGAGTTATTTAGCCCAACCACAGAGGTCCCGGTTTGGGCACAGCCACACCCAGCAAATCCTTACACATTTGCAAGCATGTCCACTAGTACACATGTCCCGTTCCGTATCCCCGTCCCCCTAACGGGTGTGAATATACTCGATATTAAAAATTCAAAACAGCAGCCTTGGTCAGTGCACTACTGAATGTGACAAAGCCACAGACATGGGTGTACCTGACGCCTTCAGAACACATGCCTGGTCCAGAGCTTGCAAAAAAAATGACGAAGCCCTCCCTTGGAATATGAATAAATCTGAGAATAAGGAAGAGTCACACATTTTCACTCGGGTGGGCACAGTGTATGGTTGGTCAACATGTTTATTATTGAACAAATTCTTAAACACGCTGCCATTTTTATGGGAATGGGAAAAGAGGAAGAAGCAGTCTTAGTAGGAATACAAATGAAAAACCTCCCTTCAACCCCACAGAATGATTTAAGGGTGTATGTATTTGGATTCAATGACTGCAGAAGCAGCATATAGTCTTATTGCTAGTCAGACTGCATGGTTCCAATTTTCCAGTCACTAACTGTGTAATCTTTGGCCAATTAGTTAAGCTTTCTGTGCCTGTTTCCTCATCTGTAAAACATAGATAAATAACAATACACCTGCCTGTTGAGTTGTTGTGAGGACTGAATGAGTTAATATATGTAAAATGCTAGGAACGGTACCTGACACATAGCAAATACTAAGGGTTAGTTACTGTTCAGATAATTTTACAGGTTCCAGTGGGTAATCTCAACCGCAGTTTCCTTATCTCCAGCTGCAGAAATATTCTTATAGTTACAATCCCCTATCTTTTATAAATTGATATCATGAAGATATGCAGAAGAACAGACATTTAGCAGGGGCAGAAAAGTTGGAGTCTTGAAACAAAGTAATTAGATCAAACCATCCACCATTTCTCCCCTCATCCACCTTGCACTTTGTTCTGTTCTTTTTTTTTTTTTTAAATATATTTTATTGATTTTGTACAGAGAGGAAGGGAGAGAGATGGAGAGTTAGAAACATCGATGAGAGAGAGTCATCGATCAGCTGCCTCTTGCACACCCCCTACCGGGGATATGCCCGCAACCAAGGTACATGCCCTTGACAGGAATCGAACCCGGGACTTTTCAGTCCCCAAGCCGATGCTCTATCCACTGAGCCAAACCGGTCCTGGCTGTTCTGTTCTTGAATTCTTCATCTACGCTCTTCTTTTTTCTGGTCCTAAACCAAGAGCAAGACAACGGCATTAGGGTTAAGGGGGATTGGTTGGCAAGCAGCCAACCAGTTGGGTGGTGTGGTAAAAGGGTATCAGAATTAGAAGACCTAGAGCCACCTCTTTGTTCACTTTCTACTGGCCTCTCTGAGCTTACATTTTTTTTCTTTTTTTTAAATATATATTTTATTGATTTTTTGCAGAGAGGAAGAGAAAGGGATAAAGAGTTAGAAACATCAATGAAAGAGAAACATCAATCAGCTGCCTCCTGCACACCCCCTACTGGGGATGTGCCCGCAACCAAGGTACATGCCAGAATCAAACCTGGGACCCTTATGTCTATAGGCCAAGGCTCTATCCACTGAGCAAACCAGCCAGGGCTGAGCTTCCGTTTTCTTTGCTGAATACTAATCCTACCCCTTGGGCCTGTTATGAACATGATATATATGAAGGTACGGTTGTTAACTATTATGTTATAGACAAGTTAATTATTAGGGAAGTGATTGAACATGGAACATGGTGGTTTTGCCTGGTCATAGGTTACGGTCCTTCTCCTTAACTTGTTTTTCCCATAACTGCTTAACCTTTTTAACCAGGAGGTGGTTGCAGTGGGTAGCTGACTGGGGAAGGGTTACATTGCAAGAAGTAAGGATGTAAGCTCTTTATTTATTTTTAAATATTTTTTATTGATTTTTCTCAGAGAGGAAGGGAGAGGGATAGACAGAAACATCGGTGAGGGAGAGCCATCGATCAGCCGCCTCCTACACACCCCCTACTGGGGATGTGCCCACAACCAACGTATATGCCCTTGACCGGAATCGAACCCGGGACCCTTCAGTCCACAGGCAGACGCTCTATCCACTGAGCCAAACCAGCTTTGGCAGGATGTAAGCTCTTTAGATGTGTAGAGTGGGTGGTGATTACAACTATAAACTGGAATACAGGGCTCTAAGAGTGACAGGCTAAGTGTGTATGGATTCCTGCAAGCTTGAGACTGACACAAATCTGTAGGTCACCAAGAGTTTAGGGCTGCACCTGGGACCTGGCTTGCCACATTCTCCCAGCACCAACACCCATCTTAATTAGCCACCTCCCACAGGAGGCCCTAGGGTGCTTGGGTGCTTATTAAAAGTTTCTCCATTTACCTGACAGGCGAATCTTAGCAGAGGCTGGCTGGCAGAGCTGATGAGCCAACACTAGAGGGAGTGGGAGGTGCAGGAGGTAGTGCTGTCCCAGGCTGTGGGTTTGAAAGTCACCAGTCAGGAAGTGAGGCCGACAGACGGAAGGGCGGGCAGGGGCGGGGAGTTGTGGGGCACAGCAGAAGGGGGCCTTCTGGAGTTTGGGGGCCGTGGGGCCATGGGCTTCAGGGCCAGAGGCTGCTGTTAGCCTGGCAAGGCAGGTTTGGGTAACATGCATGCCCAAAGGCAGCTGGCTATCGCTGCAGTGAGAGCAGAAGTCAAACGACATGAGGTAGCCAAGCAGGCTCTCAGCCGCCTCAGGAAACTGGCGGAGAGGGTGGGCGACTCGGAACTTCGTGACAGCATCCAGGCCTCACTGAACAGCATACGAGGTAAGAGAAGGGTGAGCTCCCACCTTGGGGGTATCGGGGGCCAGAAGGGGCATAGAAGAGTTTAATGGGTCCTACATCATTTCCCAGTGAGCCATTTCCTAGCAGTCCCCAAGATGGAGCTGGGATTTAGGGGAAGAATCGACTTGGAAAAGACAGAAAAAGACATGAGAGGTGTCTTTCTTCCTCTTTCCCCAACTCGGAGCCCTCTCCTAGGGGATCAAAACACAGGTCACTGCTGGGCTGACCTTCTTGGAAATGGAGAAGTGGTGAGCTTGGGGTAGGCTTGGACTCTGCCTGGGGAATCGGTGGCAGGAAGCAGTCTGGGGCAGGAGGTTCTGGGACTGGATAATGAGTTCATTCCCAGGACCCACGAGGGATCAGTGACCTCTTGTTCTCCAGCTGTACAGACAAACACACACACTAGTGCGTACACACATTGACATGACGACCGCACAGAGAATCTCAGGCTCCCAGGCACACACTACCATTCACGCAGCATGCTCTGCACAGCCGAGGTGCAGAGAAATGCCCCAGGACTCCTCTGGGTCCCCTCTCTTCCCCATGCTCCTGTTCCTCTCTTCCCCCCACACACCTTCCGCTCTACCTTCTGAGTGTCCTTAGCACAAGTGATGACAATGCAGGAAGGAAGTGCTGCCATGGCAACACCATCCGCCACATCCTCCTGCCCACCCCGGCTTCAACGCTGTGGTGTGGCCCTGGCAGGAAGGGCTCGTCCATCCATGAGGCACTAGTAACTGATGGCACCGGAGGTTTCTCTGGACCCTTCTTGTCTCATTGCCTCCGAGGTGGCAGAGAGCTAACAAAAGCGGGCTCCTCTGCTCAGGAAAGGTGCCTGGCAGAAGCACATCCTCCATATCGTGGTGTCTTCCAGCCTCTCCATTTTTAGCCGATACTTGGGGGTGGCAGATGGGGGCAGCAAAGAAGTGCCAGGAGTGCCAGATCTCTCTGCCGGTAAAGGCCGCCAGAGCACAACTTTGGGAAGGAACAGTTTGGTTCGGGTTCCGGAGAGAACAGTCTGATAATACCCTCCCTGTTGCCCTTCTGACGCTGGTGCCTCCTGTCCCCCACCCTTTGCCAAGAACCACAGCTGACACCTTCCCTGCAGCGTTAATTGTTGGAAAGGCAGACCTAGGAGAAGTGGCCCCGTGAGGCCTCCTAGGGAGGAACTCCAAGCCCCATTCCTGTGGGGGAAAAAGGGGGGAGAGGCCATGTCTAGGGCAGGTAGAGGCCTCTGCTTAGCTCTGGAGAACGGAGTGAGGAGGGGGAGAGGATGGAATCTCTGAGAAGACTCCACTTTTCGCAAGTGATTTGTTCCACTCTCCCCAAGAGCCAGGTTTCTGTGCCCTTTAAGGGGACACCTCAAGGAAAACTGGGGCCACCGATGGAAAGAAAAGAAAAAAAAAATTAAGCCGGAATCAACAAATCTCCTTCACTGTCTTTCAGAAAAAAACCCACTGAAGGGTCTCCTAGCCTGGGAATGGTGTTATCATGACTGCTGCCAGGGCGGGGTGTGGGGAGGCTGCGGGTCTCCAGGCAGGCCCGAGGAGGGGCTGGGTACAGGTCTAGGGGGAAACAAAGGGTATCCAGCATCCCCGTTCCGCCCTCCACCCTCCACCCCTACCAGGCCGCGCGCGCCACGGGCTCCTGCTCCAAGAGCCGCCCACGACAGCACTATTATAGTCTCGCCTGCGTCAGGAGGATGGGACGCCAAATTAGGGGGAACGCTGAGACTCCCCGAGTCCAGGGGTGGGTTCGCCGAGGCTGGCGGGAGGCCTCCCCTAACTCCCACCCCAGCCTTGTGGGGTCTACATCTCGGCTCCCCAGAGGCCTAACCCCTTGATCCTCCTCCCCCGGCTTGAGGACAGTGAGCCTTGCACTGCAGGGTCCCTAGAGAGTGGGAGCTACAGGAACTGAGGGAGGCTCCTTATATTCGGGGGCGCTGCATAACCCACATGTGGGTAACTAGTTGTGATGGTGGTGCCTCCATGAACCCCAAATCACATGGCAGTCTCCTCCCACCTCCCACCATGTACGCGGATCCCTCCTCTCGGCTTATCCCCGCTGTTTCTGAGGCACTCTTGGAGCTGGGGTTGCTATGGAGACGGGATGCATTTTAGTATGGGGGGGGGGGGGTGTCAGTCTGTAGACCTATTCCTTCTCCTTCCACCTCCAGCGGCAGCCTCTGGTTCCCATTTCTGCCCGGGCTGTTCGGAGCCCCCAGGCTTCCCCCTGCGGGAGGCACCCTCCCCTCCTCCCCATTCTAAGTTCCATGTTTGTCCCCGTTCCCAGGGGACACTTTTCAAGTTCACTTTGGGACAGTTGTGCTCAAAAAGTGGCCCCGTCGATGCATTGCCCGAGTTGGGGGTGCAGGTGGGCGAGAGGGCTGGGTTATGGGAAAGGAAAGCGTGCAAGGGCCTGGGGAGAGATAGGGGGTCTTGGGAACAGCATTTCGGGGTCCTCCACCTTTCTGCATCAGCTTCCCCAGAATTTTGCTCCGTTTCCGCGGCGGACTGTTCCCTCTTGGGCTGATTTTTACCCCTAGTCCCTACACGCCGCACCCCACAGCTGCGCTCCCTTGCTGTGCTGAGCTGGGGAGGGGGCTGGCGTGCTGGAGTGGGTGAGTCCAGGTCCCGGGGAATCCAGCCCAGGGTTTGGGAGGAAGATCCAGTCCTGGGTTTCGCGCCGCCTTCGCAGACAGCCGCGCCGGTGGAGGGGAGGTGGGGGAGCGATGGGGGGCGGGGGCTGCCTCCTCCTCAATGTGAGGGGAGCGCCCGGACACAGCGCGCATCCGGACCCAGCCGAGCCCCGGCGAGCCCCCCAGACCCTGCGCCCGGACCTCACGCCCCTCCCCTCCCAGACCCCGCACCCGCGGGTGCCCACCCCTCCGGCTTCCCCCCTTCCTCCCCCGCCGGCGACCGTACCTCCATCCCCAGCATCCTCCCCGCGCCCCTGCGAATCCCCCGCACGACCAGCCCCATTTAGCTCCCCACCCTCCTAGGGACCCCCTTCCGACCCTCCCCCGCGGCCCCTGCCCCCCGAGTCCCCCTTCCCCGCCTCTGCCTCCCCCGCACCCATTCCTCTCCTCCCCAAGCCTCCGGTCCCCCTGTCCCTCCCTCTCCCCTCTTTGCCCCCGCTCCTGTCTTCCCCGCCCTCCCCGCCCATTCAGCGCCCCCACCCAGGCCGGGGTGCACGGCCCGGCGCGCCTCCCTGGAGCAGCACCCAGGTCCCGGGGCTCCGACGGGGTGGGGGCGCAGGGCGGGGAGCATGGGGAGGGGGCGCCCCGTGTGATGGGCGGGGGGCGCAGGCGGAGGCGGCGGAGGCGGCGGCGACAGCGGAGCCGGGCCGGGGGCTCAGCGGGGTCCGGGGGCTGCGGGCGGCGAGCAGGGCGGCCCCATGGCCGGGCCCCCCTGAGGCGGTCCAGGGGAGCCCCCTCCCCTCCCCAGCTCGGGGGTCTCGGGGCCCCATGAGCCGGGGCGCGGGCGCGCTGCAGCGCCGGACAACGACCTACCTCATCTCGCTGACCCTGGTCAAGCTCGAGTCGGTGCCGCCGCCGCCGCCTTCCCCGTCCGCGGCCGCAGCAGCCGGCGCCCCCGGGACCAGGGGCGCGGAGCCCGGGGAGCCGGGCAGCCCCCGCGGCTCGGAGGAGCCGGGCAAGAAGCGGCACGAGCGCCTCTTCCACCGGCAGGATGCGCTGTGGATCAGCACGAGCAGCGCGGGCGCGGGGGCCGCCGAGGGCGCCGAGACCCCCGCGCTGTCCCCGGCCCCGGCCAGTCCCGCCCGCCCCGTCTCCCCGGCTCCCGGCCGCCGCCTCTCCCTCTGGGCCGCCCCCCCGGGGCCCCCGCTTTCCGGGGGGCTGAGCCCCGACCCCAAGCCCGGGGCAGCTCCCGCCTCCTCCCGGCGCCCCCTGCTCAGCAGCCCGAGCTGGGGGGGCCCGGAGCCCGAAGGCCGGACGGGCGGCGGCGTCCCCGGCTCGTCCTCCCCGCACCCGGGCACGGGCAGCCGGCGGCTGAAGGTGGCGCCTCCTCCGCCGGCTCCCAAGCCTTGCAAGACCGTGACCACGAGTGGCGCCAAAGCCGGCGGCGGGGGCAAGGGCGCAGGGAGCCGCCTGTCATGGCCCGAGAACGAGGGCAAGCCCAGGGTCAAGGGGTCAAAGAGCAGCGCCGGGCCCGGAGCTGCAGCCGCTGCTGCTGCGGCCGCAGGGGCGGGAGGAGCGGCAGCCGCGGCCTCTGGAGGGGTCGGAGCTGGGTCCGGAGCCCGAGGGAGGCTGTCCCCCCGGAAAGGCAAGAGCAAGACCTTGGACAACAGCGACTTGCACCCCGGACCACCTGCCGGCTCTCCTCCGCCCCTGTCCATCCCGGCGCCCTCGGCTCCAGCCGCTGCTCTCACCGTCGCCGCGATGCCAGCGGGGCCTGCACCTCCAAACACGCTGGAGCCCCCAGCTCCGGGGCTGAAACGCGGCCGGGAGGGGGGCCGAGCATCCACTCGGGATCGCAAGATGCTCAAGTTTATCAGCGGCATCTTCACCAAGAGCACAGGGGGGCCTCCCGGTACCGGGCCCCCCGCCGGACCCCCGGGCCTGCCCTCTGGCAGCGGGTCCCGGGAGCTGCTGGGCACCGAGCTCCGCACCTCCCCTAGTGAGTAGGACCGGAGTCTGGAGCCGGGAGGGGAGGGCGCCTGCCGGAGGCTCAGCCTGGGCTGGGGGAGCCTGTGCAGGACTGGCCTGGGGAAGGGGGTGGGGGAACCAGGCTGACCTCTCTGCCAAGGACTGGGGTGAGGATTAACGCGAGGTCCTGACAGGGCAGAGGAGCCCCATGGTGGGGCGTGAGAAATGACTTGATTTCAGGGGGAGTCAGAAAGCCTCAGAGCTTTCTGGGGAAATGGTACCCCTGGTCAGAATGACTGTGGGGAATTGCTCAAGCTCCAGGCCCCACTTCCAGCCCCCTGGAAACAGGACTGTGCCTTGCCCAGAGGGACATGGAAGGGGAAGGGGATTAGGAAGCCTCGGTTTCCCCTGAGCACTGGGGGCAGGTGGCATGAGAGTGACCTTGCAGGCAGCTGCCGGCCCTGGGCTGGGAGCAGGCTGGCGGGGCAGCAGGAAGGGGCTGTTCCTTTCCCTGCAGGTGGATTGGGAAGGCAGGGGACCTGGGGAGCTGGGGACTGGGTCGTGGGGAACAGGAACACTTGCAGTGAAGTGAGAGGGGGCGGAAGGAAGCTCATTTGCCCCAGTGCCCACCCAGGCCCAGCCTCATTGAAACCCCCAGGGAGATGCCCAGGAATGACTCAGGGGGGACCTGCTGCGAAGGCAGTTCTTCTTACCCCCACCCCCCACCCCCAGACTTGGGAGGGGTGTCTTTACTTCTTATCTTTTTCCTCCTGGAAGAGAGGCGAGGGACTCATGTTTAGCTCACACTCCTGGAGGGGAGCAGGTCGGGGAGCGGGGGCGGCTCCCGGGGTTTGGCTCCGGAGCGGGTGGGAGCAGATGGCTCCGGATCCCAGAGTTCCCGCCGCAGCTGCGGCGCCCCGGGAACGTCCGGCCGGTGTCAGGCGCGGGGGCTGGACCCGGCGGGCGGAAGGAGCATCCTGCCTCCTCCCACTCCTCCGGGCCTGTGGCTGCTCTCCGCCAGGGAGTGGCGCCCTTGCCCACGTTTCTTTGGGAGCATGCTTGTGGGGACCGTTATGGGGGAAGGGGGCATAGAAAACCCAGGCACCGTTCCTTGGGCTGTGGGGAGGGGTCAGGGCCTTCAGCCATTGACCTTGAAAAAGGGAAGGCATACCCCTCACCTCAGTTTCTCTCCTGTGAAATGGAGATTGAGGAAGATCCGCTCCCTCCTATGCCCCAGCCCCGCCTCCTAGGGTCGGCCGGGAGTCAGACAGGCCTTTGGGCAGGAGACCCTCTTAAATTCTTCCAGAGGGAAGGACCCACCGCTGTCAGGGCCCCGGTCTCAAGGTCTGGGGCAGGGACTTACAGTTTGGGGATGTGTTTTAAGGGAGATGCCAAGTGAAGTATTTTCGTCTTGCTGACTCCGTTGCTAAGCAACCACTGAGCGGCAGCAACAGCTGTGCGGAGAGCTGGCTAGGATGGGAGGACTGGGGACCACTCTCACACCCAGCCCTTCCACGCAGCTCCCCAGCCCAGGCAGGGTTCAGAGGGTTAAGAAAAGCTGCAGGAGGAGGAGTGGCTGAGGGTTGGAAGCCCTCCTGAGCCTGGAGCATCCCCTCTTATGGCTCCTTTCCCATTGCAGAGGCCGTGGTCAACAGCCAGGAATGGACTCTGAGCCGCTCCATTCCTGAACTGCGCCTGGTAGGTACCTGGTCCCCTTGTCTGCAGGAAGGCTGACCTCCTGTCCCCTGCGCTCTCAACTCTCTCTCCTTCATCTCCTCCTCCCTCTCTCTCTGTGAGAAAAGGGAATCGTTTTTGGTTTTTTTTAGTTCTCCTGAGATTCTACCTTCATGGCACCTTCTTGAGCCTACATCCTCACAACTTTTTCTCTAGTCTCTTTCCCCCTATTTATCCATGGTTATTTTTCAGGCTTCTCCTCACTTCTGGCATCTCTCCTATGGTCCTTCATGTTCTATTGCCTAGAATTGGGTAAAACTTTTCAACCAAACAGTGCCTAGACTATGACATGCTCTCTCCCTGCTCCCTATACACACAACTGGTATGTTTTCTAAATAGCAGAACACACACACACACACACACACACACACACACACAGTACTGAGTTGCTGAGATTACTCAGATTTTGGGGATTATTTCTTGCCATTCTCCTGGCCTGATCTTCCCAGATGCACTCCTGACTGTCATCCAGGCCCTGGGGGACCCTCCCTGGATGATCTAACACTGCCAGTCTCTTCAAGTTCTCCAGACCCAAGCATACTGCCACCTCCAAACTTCCATGATCTCTGCTCTACAACCTTGTCTGCAGGGTGTACTGGGCGATGCCAGGAGTGGGAAGTCATCGCTCATCCATCGGTTCCTGACTGGTTCCTACCAGGTGCTGGAGAAGACAGAGAGTGAGTTCTTAGGAGCCATAGTAAACTAAGGATTGGGGCCAGGGATCCAGGATTAATGACTAGGCAGTGTGGGGATGGAGACCAGAGGGAAGGATGAGGCCATGACAGCTAAAGTAGAGGGATGATGGGGTGGCCTGGTGACCTGTGACCCCTGACCTATCCCTTCCAACCTTTCTGCACAGGTGAGCAGCACAAGAAAGAGATGTTGGTGGATGGACAGACTCATCTGGTGTTGATCCGAGAGGAAGCTGGGGCACCTGATGCCAAGGTGAGGGTGAGGTATGGGGTGCGCAGGCTTGCTGGGGTCAGCACTGGCCAGGGGAGTGGGCTCTGGTTTCCCAGATCTAACTGGGAATAGCGTCGAAAGAAGTGGGCTTGTTTGACCCTCTCTTTGTCCCCTCATCCCCCGAAAGTTCTCAGGCTGGGCAGATGCTGTGATCTTGGTCTTCAGCCTGGAGGATGAGAACAGTTTCCAGGCCGTGAGCCGTCTCCACGGGCAGCTGAGCTCCCTTCGGGGGGAGGGACGAGGAGGTCTGGCGCTGGCGTTGGTGGGGACACAAGGTAAAGAGGGGCTGGGAAGGCACTACTGATGGCTACGGGGGCATTGCCCAACATACAAGGGGCCTTGGGGAGGTGTAGAAATGGCCACATGGATTCTAGTAACCTCTGGAAGGAGCCTGATCTCCAGATAAGGGAGCCATTAAACCAACACTAACAGCCCAGGACCTGAGCAGAGAGAAGGAGGCGCTTCCGGGAGGAAGGGACAGCTATCGTAGCATCTCCACCCTCCGAGATGTCGCCTGTCTTGTGTTCTTATGCTCTCATTTCCCGATGCCATCACCATGGGAAACAGAGCTCAGTCCCTAGTGCTGATGGGAAGCCTTTCCCACTCTCCCTTGCTGCAGCTGGGTCAGGCTGACACCTTTCAAAGGAACATATTTAAAACAAAGAGAAGCCACAAGTGAAATGATGTAGATAACACAGAGGGCAGAAAACCTTTTAAGGAAGTGATTCAGATGCTCAGCTTCTTCCACGACCACCTGTGTGAGGCCGGCAGGGCGGTCTGGATGCCCGTCCAGCAGGTGCCTGCTTCCACTTGTCGCTTGTCTCCAGGTTTCCCGGGGCAGAGCGAGCAGGCCACCTGCTACGCACGGCTATTCAGCCTTTTCCTAGTTCACTTGCCAGGTGCCCTCCCTTTCAGTTCAGGGTGCATTGGATTTGCAGGACAGGGTGATTGTCACTTGTGAGCCTCAACCATTATATATATATTTATTGATTTTTCACAGAGAGGAAGAGAGAGGGATAGAGTTAGAAACATCGATGAGAGAGAATCATCGATCAGCTGCCTCTTTTTTTTTTTTAATATATTTTATTGATTTTGTACAGAAAGGAAGGGAGAGAGATAGTTAGAAACACCGATGAGAGAGACATCGATCAGCTGCCTCTTGCACACCCCCTACTGGGGATGTGCCCGCAACCAAGGTACATGCCCTTGCCCGGAATCGAACCCGGGACTTTTCAGTCCGCAGGCCAATGCCCTAGCCACGGAGCCAAACCAGACCCGGCGCGCCTCAACCATTTTAGATCTTGTCAGGAAGCTGCACCCGACTCTGAAGTGTTTTCTGAAGACAGATACAGAGTGCCCTCAGCCTGCTCATAACGCAGCTGGGCATCTGAGCCCGGGCCAGAACTTAAAGGAGGCCATGCACTCCGTTCCACCGGCCACAGGAGGGAGACGCTTTCACACCCTGTCACACCCTGTCCCTGGTGGGTCCAGTCTGGGCCTGGAGCCCAGGGGAAAGGAAAGCAGGATGCATGGGGCAGGGCCTTGATCGCGCTTCTCGCCGGTGCCCGCAGACAGGATCAGCGCTTCCTCCCCCCGGGTGGTGGGCGACGCTCGTGCCAGAGCGCTGTGCGCGGACATGAAACGCTGCAGCTACTACGAGACGTGTGCGACCTACGGGCTCAACGTGGACCGCGTCTTCCAGGAGGGTGAGTGTGGTCCTCCCAGCACACGCGGGAAACGGGGCCTGAGGCCGGGATCGTCTTAGAGGTTGCACATCCAGGCCTCTGTCTGTGTAGGTCATTATAGGCAGGTCATTAGCCTGTGGGAGGCAGGGAGGTCAGAGAAGTCTTGCTTAACAGCCACAGGTCTCTCTGGACTAGAGGAGCTGGGAAGGCTCCATGTGGCACGAAGGCCACGCTGATAAGGAATGTGGGGCCTATGTTATCGCATGGGGGTGTCTCAAAACTGGGCACTGAAGGGGGTTCTTGGGTATCTGCCCTGCTCACACCTCCTTCCCCTCCCCACTCCAGTGGCCCAGAAGGTGGTGACCTTACGCAAACAGCAACAGCTCCTGGCTGCCTGCAAATCCCTGCCTAGCTCCCCAAGCCACTCAGCTGCTTCCACTCCCGTAGCTGGGCAGGTGAGTTGGGGGTTTCAGGGTCCACAGAGGGGCTGGTAAGGATCTGAGTGTCTGGTGATCCAAGGAGAGGTTCAGAGTGCCCAAGGAGGCTGTGTGTGTGTGTGTGTGTGTGTGTGTGTGTGTGTGTTTGTGTGGCGGGGGGGGGATGGAAGTGGGGATGGTAGAGACACCATTTGTAAAAGTGCGTTGGACTGGAAAACCACATGGTTTCAAACATCGTTTGCAATGTCCTTGAGCAAGTCACCTAAACCTCCCAAGGTTATTAGGAAAATTATATGGCAAAAACTTGTGAAGTCAACTTTGTAAAACGAAAGCACTATGACTATGCTAGTGAGGAGTTTGCTTACTAATGCTAATACACATAAATGGTGATGAGATCAAGGGATTCCTCGGGTTCCTCATAATCAGCTGTAACTGATGCTTGGTGGGATGGGAGCATCTCAGCTACTTTGACTTCTCCAGGCTAGTAACGGGGGCCACACTAGCGACTACTCTTCTTCCCTCCCGTCCTCACCCAACGTGGGTCATCGCGAGCTCCGAGCTGAGGCAGTGGCCGTGGCTGGACTGAGCACACCAGGGTCCCTGCACCGGGCAGCCAAGCGCAGGACCAGCCTTTTTGCGGTATTGGATATGCTGACCCCCGTCCTCTGTTCCCCCGTTACCTGCCCATCTTCCCTGGTCCCTAGACCCCTCTTTTGGGCCCTTTCTTCATCTGTCTTTCCTGTCCTTCCACCAGTGTATCCCTCCACCCAGCCTCTAACTATGCCAATAACCATTCCAGAATCGCCGGGGCAGCGACTCTGAAAAGCGGAGCTTGGACAGTCGGGGAGAGACAACGGGGAGTGGGCGAGCCATTCCCATTAAGCAGGTGGGTGGCCCAGGGGCGGAGGGCGGGCCGGAGGTGGCTGATCCTACCTGGGCTCCCCCACATGTCTTTCTCCGTCCCCAGAGCTTCCTACTGAAGCGAAGCGGCAATTCCTTGAACAAAGAGTGGAAGAAGAAATACGTGACCCTGTCCAGTAACGGCTTCCTGCTCTACCACCCCAGCATTAACGTGAGTGGCAGAGGCCGGCCGGCCTCAGGGCTGGCCTTAGACGCCTTCCAGCTCTACGAGTCTGTGCCTCCGACAAACACTAATATTTCTGGGAAGCTCCTCTGGTTCTCTTAGGCTTAGCAAGCACGTTGAAGGTTAGGTACCTCCCAGGTGCCATCCGGGGGAGAAACGGTGACGTTCAGCCTAGGGAGAGCATGGAGAAAGGGCCTCCACCTGGCCTGCCGCTCAGGGAACGCTTTCTGGGGGAGACAAGGCTGAGCCAATGCTGGGTGGCCCATCCCCTGGAAGCTCACCTCAGCCCACTGAGCTCTACGAGACCCCCCCCCCCCTTTATATACTACATTTTTATTGATTTCAGAGAGGAAGGGAGAGGCAGAGAGAGACAGAAACATCAATAATGAGAGTGAATCATTGGCTGTCTCCTGCACGCCCCCTACTGGGGATTGAGCCCAAAACCAGAGCATATGCCCTGACTGGGTATTCAACCACTGAGCCATGCTGGCCAGGATTTTTTTCTTTTCTTTAAAAATTAAAAAAATTGTATATATATATATATATATATAAAATTGATTTTTTACAGAGAGGAAGGGAGAGAGGGATAGAGAGCTAGAAACATTGATGAGAGAGAAACATCGATCAGCTGCCTCCTGCACCCCCCCACCCCCCACTGGGATGTGCCTGAAACCAAGGTACATGCCCTTGACCGGAATCAAACCTGGGACCTTTCAGTCTGCAGGTCGACGCTCTATCACTGAGCCAAACTGGTTTTGGCTAAAAAATTATTTAAAAATTTTTTTCTACGAGCCCCCCTTCCCCACCCCCTTCCCCCACTTGATTCCTTCTCTACTCCCTACTATTGGTTGCTTCCCAGCACTACCAAGGAACTCAACCTTCCCTATATTCTCAACCCCTGCGCCCTTCCAGGACTACATCCACAGTACCCACGGCAAGGAGATGGACTTGCTACGAACAACAGTCAAAGTCCCTGGCAAGCGGCCCCCACGGGCCATCTCTGCTTTCGGCCCCTCAGCCAGCATCAATGGGCTCGTCAAGGACATGAGCACCGTCCAGATGGGTGAAGGCCCTGGTGAGTGGGGCTCATGACAGAGGAGCCAGGGCCAGGGGAAAGGAGGGGCAGCAGGGAAGTAGGGACTGGATTCGTGAGAAGGCGGGTGATAAAGATGCACCACTAAGGCATGAGTGGCTCGCTGAGGTTTTATATTCTTCTCCCTCCAACAGACGCCACTACTCCCACTCCAAGCTCCAGCTCCAGCCCAAGTTCCCTGCAGCCACCATCAGACCAGACATCCAAGCACTTGCTGAAGCCAGACCGGAATTTGGCCCGAGCCCTCAGCACTGGTCAGTGAGAACCCATCTTCCATCCACTCTCTTCCAGATCCGGATGGGATGTGGGTGGGAAATGAAATTGGGGCGGACACTTGGAGACTGGAATCCAATGCATGAGTGCATATATTAAGCATCTACTGGATACAGGCACCAAGCTCAGCATTATCATGTTCATCATGATGTTTAAGACAAGAGGGTTCTAGAGCTAAATTGCCTGAACTTGAATCCTGGCTTGCCGCTGGGTCAAGTTACTTGATCTCTCCATGACTCAGTTTCCTCTCTATAAAATGGAGATAACAGTTTCTATCTGAGAAGGTTGCTTTAAGGCTTAAAAAAACTTGAGAACATTGTCTAGCACATGGTCAGCATTCAGTGCTTGGAATGTTCAGAAATATATATATATATATATATATATATATATATATATATGTATTTTTCCCCTTAATTTATTTAAAATAGCAAGTAACATTGTAACAAGTAACCCTTACAACAACCTTGTCAGGTCAAGATTATTATCCCCATTTTAGGGATGAAGAAACTGAGGCTCAGAAGATTAAGTGACTTGCTCAAGGTCTCAAGGCCAGTAAGTGGCAGAGCCAGGATCTGAGTACAGGTCTGACTCTAAACCACTCATCTGCCCACTTCCTCAGGAATAATCAAGGGGGACCTCCTGGAGAGGGACTGTTGAAAGGAGGGGATCCTAAAATGCCAAAGCTAGTTCAGGGGAGGAGGCAGGCTATGACGAAGTCAGGAAATCTGTGGAGGGGCAGCTGAGGCAGCTGTGTCTCCCTTCCTAAGACTGTACCCCATCTGGAGACCTGAGCCTGAGCCGGGAACCCCCTCCTTCTCCCATGGTGAAGAAGCAGAGGAGGAAAAAATTGACAACACCGTCTAAGACGGAAGGCTCCGCTGGACAGGCTGAAGGTGAGGCCTTAATGGGGGGTTGCACTCCCACTGTGGACCCTCCCCCCTAACTCCAGATCCCTGGCCCAGTTCCTACAGGAAGAGGAGAAGGGTCTGAGCTGAGTGCTTGACTATCATTACCACTTTGCACATAATTTAGTGAAAAAAAATGAATGGACACCCCTCAGCCTTGTCCTTCCTCTTGCTGCCCAGTCAATGCCTTTTACCCCAGCAGTTCCCAGCACCCCATGATCAATGACCCCTCTCCTAATGACCCTCTACTTCCCCTTCCTGCCCTCAACTCTGTTTACCACCTCAGCTCCTGCTCCCAGAGCCTTATGGCCCCCAGGGAGTCAGCCCCTGATCTCCATGTCCCCCTTGGACTCCTCAGCTCCTGACCATCCAGCCCCTGCTCCCAGTAACTTCCTGTGATCGTCAAGCTCCCCTGACAGCTCTTGACCCCAGTGAAGCCCCCAAATATTCAGGACTTCTCAACCCCAGGCCCCCTCACCACCCAGGCCTGTAGCTTTCCCCTTATTTACTCAGATCCTGCCCATCCCTTCCCCGCCCAGAGTCCCGGCTCCTCATTGACCATGATAACCGGTCCCCACCGCCCCTGCTCTCTGCTGGGTGCTCAGACCCAGGCTCCAGATCTGCCTGCTCTCATGGCTCTTGGCTTCCGCTCTACTCTGCTCCGGGGCCACTGACTTTAGTTCTGCTTTCTCTCCCCACCTGTCTGTCCTGCTTTGTCTCTGGCACTCTGTCACTCTCTCCATCTCTCCATCTACCTCGTTCTCTTTCTTGGTCTTTTTCTCTGTTCTGCTCTCTATTCTATCTCTATATCCTTCGCTTCGGGAAACCAGCCAAGCGCAAAATGTGGAAACTAAAATCCTTTGGTAGTTTAAGAAATATTTATAAAGCAGGTAACAAGCGGGGAGCTGGGAGGGGCGCTCAGCTGGGGTGCAGAGGGGTGGGGGTGCCCCTGCCTTCCCCTGCATGTGCTCGGGCTTCCTGCTCCCCACCCCCCACCTCTGCTTCCCCAGCCCTTCTGCCCACTCCCAGGGGCTTGTGATGGACATCAGGGGGGAAGGATTGGGGAAGGCAGCTCCTGCTTGAACTCTCTCCCTCATGACCCCATCCCATCCCCCCACCCAGAGGAAAACTTCGAGTTCTTGATCGTGTCCAGCACTGGTCAGACGTGGCACTTTGAGGCCGCCAGTTTTGAGGAGCGGGATGCCTGGGTCCAGGCAATCGAGAGTCAGATCCTAGCCAGCCTGCAATGCTGTGAGAGCAGCAAGGTCAAGGTAATGGCGGTGAAAGGTTTGGGGGGAAAGCAGAGGTGAGTGTCTGAGGAGTCTGGAGAAGGGTTCCGAGGGAGAATCAGTAATAATAATCCCAGCCGTTTCCCCAGCTGCGCACAGACAGCCAAAGCGAAGCCGTGGCTATCCAGGCGATCCGGAACGCCAAGGGGAACTCCATCTGCGTGGACTGCGGGGCTCCCAGTGAGCACAAGAGGGCAGCGGAGGGGCCCCGGAGGGAGTGTGGTTCGCTGGCGTTGGCGGTTTCGGGGCGGGTGCCGGTGTTTGCCCTCGGGGAGCCAACATCTCCCTCCGTCCCCAGACCCCACGTGGGCCAGTTTGAACCTGGGCGCGCTCATCTGCATCGAGTGCTCGGGCATCCACCGGAACCTGGGCACGCACCTGTCCCGCGTGCGCTCGCTGGATCTGGACGACTGGCCCCGGGAGCTGACCCTGGTGCTGACGGCGATTGGCAATGACATGGCGAACCGCGTGTGGGAGAGCAACACGCGGGGCCGAGCCAAACCCACGCGGGACTCCTCGCGGTATGTGCGAGGGAACAGATGGGGGGGGCTCCCTTAGAGGGTCCCCAGGAGGGGGAGGGGATCATGAGTGGGGAGGGGTCCCGAGAGCCCTTCCCATGGATCCCTGTCTTGCAGGGAGGAGCGTGAGTCCTGGATTCGCGCCAAGTACGAGCAGCTGCTGTTCCTGGCGCCGCTGGGCGCTCCGGAGGAGCCGCTGGGCCGCCAGCTGTGGGCCGCCGTGCAGGCCCAGGACGTGGCCGCCGTCCTCCTGCTTCTGGCCCACGCGCGACACGGGCCGCTGGACACCAGCGTCGAGGACCCGCAGCTTCGCTCCCCGCTGCACCTGGCGGCCGAGCTGGCCCACGTGGTCATCACGCAGCTGCTGGTGTGGGTACGTGCGTGGCGGGGGGTGGGGATGGGGGGTGAAGGGGCCTTGGAGGGCTCCGCTCGCTCGGAAACAGCCCGGCAGGGGGCGCCTGGCACCCTCCCAGGGACCCTGGAAGCCCTGGGGAGCGGCGTGCAGGCGGCCCCGGGGCTGCGCGGTGACCGGCCGTTCCGCCCGCAGTACGGCGCCGACGTGGCCGCCCGGGACGCGCAGGGCCGCACCGCGCTGTTCTACGCCCGCCAGGCCGGGAGCCAGCTGTGCGCCGACATCCTCCTGCAGCACGGCTGCCCCGGCGAGGGCGGCAGCGCGGCCGCCGCGCCCGGCATCCTCGCCACGCCCAGCCCCCGCCGCCGCAGCAGCGCCGCCAGCCTGGGCCGCGCCGACGCCCCCGTCGCGCTGGTATAGTTGCCCGGCGGGAGAGACACCCCCACGGGCCGCCGAGCACGACCGCACCGGGTGGACCGCTGGACAGATGCACCCACTCACCACTCCAGTCCGCCCCCCCACGCCCCGTGAGAGCACTTCTTCCCCCCACGAAGGCACAGCCCTCACGCCCCCCTTCCCCCCCAGAAGACACAAACTCACCTCCCTCTCCCCCACGAGGCATGGAGACCCCGCCCAACACGCCCCCCTCCTCTCCCTCCACTGTTTGCACCCTCGGATTGCTCTGGGTCTACCCGTTTGGTGTTTGAGGAAGGGGACGCCCGCGCTTCCCCTGCCCCTGGGCCAGCGATGCCCACTCGCGCCCCCTAAGGGCGGGGGAAACGATCCCGTCCTGCCTGTGCTTGACAATCCCAAGGCCTGGAGCACACCCCCAGGCTGGCTCCTGGGGCCACGCCGCCGAGCCAGAGGGAGGGCTTCATTGGGGAGGGCTAGCCCCGGGACTTGGGGCCAATAAGGGACCCTACCCCTTCCATGCTAATCTCACTGCCCAGTGAAGGGGAAGGGCAGCGAGGGGCAGGACCCCTGCTGCCCACGAGGGGTAGGGGGTCCCCAACCCTTTCCGTGAAAGGGACCATGAGGAGTGGAAATCCAGACGTCCCCCTAAAGCCACCCATGGATGGAAGCTAAAGGGCTGGGGGAGCCAGGAGCCTGGGCCCCTCTTCATTAACTATCTGAGGAGGGAGGAGGGATGGAGCAGGAGCAGGCTAAGGGGGCTGGGTAGCAGCCTTGTAATTTATTGCTTTGTTCCCCAACAAGGGGACAGGGGTGGGCAGGGGCTTGGGGAGGGCATTTCAGGGTAGGGAACGCCAAGGGTGGGAAGAGGGTGGGGTAGGGCGGGGGTGCTCTTGGGTTGTGAGTGTCTGTGACCGTGACTGCGTACCTGTGACTGTGCAGCGCCCGTGGTGATCTGGGGTAGGGGGCACCCCTACAATGGGACCCCTGTCCCACTATTTTTCATATACAGCCCCTCCCTCCCACTGGAGCTTCTCCAGACCCATCCCTCCACCCCACGATCCCTCCCAGCCAGGGTAAAAAGGTGTGAGGTGGCTGGGAGGGTTTCCAGGCCCGCTGCCCTATCCCCAGAAAATGGGCGGTGGGGTGGACTTACCTGGCCCCGCCCTGCCTCCCTCAGTCAACCCAGGTCCTCTGTGTCAGTGGTTTCGGTCATTTTTTTTTTTTTTTTTCTTGGCTAAAATATTTTGCAAAGGACCAGGTCATTGGGAAGGGGAGGGGGCATTGCCCCCATCTCCTCAGACAGGTGGTGTGAATCTTCAACAGCAATTAAAGAGGAAATGATTTTGTCTAGGGGGTACGCTGCTGGTCTGTTCTTGAAGAAGTGGGTCAGGGAACGGCCTTGGGCAAGGGGGCGGGGACTGGAGGTGGGAGAGGGCCACCCGTAGAGGGTACTTCCTGCTGTGGCTGGTGGCAGGGTATTGTCAGTCTCTAAGGGCACCGAGGTGATAGGTCAGATACGCCGTCATGTACAACAGTTTTGAGTTCGTGTAGAAGAAGGAGACAGGCAGGTCAGAGCAACAGTGGGGATCCAGGGAGCAGAGGAGTGACTCCCAAGGTGACCCGGTTCTGGTCAAGGAGTTAGGGCGTGGAGTTTAGAGGAGAGAAAGGGAGGGGGGCTGCTTGGAGAAGTGAGAGGATGGGGCAGTTTTGGTTAAGAGCAGGAACTTTGGAGTCAGATCTAATTTTGAAACTGGGCCCTCCACCTCATAGCCAGGTTGCCTTGGTTAGGTTTACCGGAGTGGTATGTCTTGGGCACCTGGTAAGGGATCCAGGGCCAGCCCGTGGAAGACTGTCCCAGGCTAGCCTGCTCACCTGGAGCACCTGGTGCCGGAAGTAGAGCTTATTACACTAAGATTCTTCTCTTGGCCAAGAGGGAAGAGGGACAAGATCTCCTGACTGCAGAGTCCCTGATGTCCATGAAACCCACGCCCAGTCGATGCAGACTTTTGCCCACTTCCGCTTCATCCACAGGACCAGTGAGGCCAGAGCATCCCATGGCCAGTGCTGCCTCCAATCGCTGCAGCACTTGCTTAGCATGTAGCCAGTTCAGCTGTTCATTCTTCATGTGCAGCCAAAGTGTTTGCCCTGGGAGAGGGCTGGGTGGGGTGGTATTGGGCTAGCAGCCAACACAGGCTTGGCACAGCCACCCACGTGTTGTCATCCACCTTGACGGACCAGTCAACGGCCCACTGTCTTCCAGTAGAGTTGGTGCCGGCTCTCAGCCCCAAGATGGACATTCAGCTGCAGGGGAGCCACCAAGCTAGTTAGATGTGGTTACAGCAATGGGCCCAGGTCCCATCCACATGGAGGCCCTGGTTCTGCAGCTGCCTGGGCTGGGTGACCACCGGTACAGTAGTCCGGTCAAGGACAGCATGCTTGGTTGAAAAGATGGGTTCAGGGGTGCAGTGCATTGAAAATGCAGATGCCGTTGTGTGATTTGGGAAGACAAAGGGAGAGGAAGAGGGTCAAGGGGCAAAGAAGACTCAACTAGAAAGCCTGGCCCTTCTCCCTTGCAACTCAAGAGACCCTGGATTCCCCCACTTCATCTCCTTTCCTTCTTGGTGGCAAAAGCTTACTCCCTTCCTCAGAAGCTCAGCAGTGACAGAGTATGGGAAGGAGACAGGGACCCTGGAGAGGATGGGATCACTACAGGGAATCACAGGCCAGGGGTAAGTTTCTTTCATATCCAGCCAGTGAAAGGTAGGGTGTCAGCAACTCCCCAGCAAACCCAACACTGAGTAATCCACAGGATTCTTTCTTCATAGGCTGTGTCTTGGTCTGGATGGAGATGTAAAGGGTGGTAGTAAACAACATGCCATGTGATGTCAAGATAGGACTCTAGAAGGGGACTCCCTGTGGGGCTGAAGGAGAACTGATACCCATGCCACCATCCCAGCTTGCCTCGGGTGTCCTCATCTCAATTCTTACTGCCACCTGCCCCCCCCCCCCCACAATCCTCTCCACCCCATCTGGTTGCCATCTGCCCCCCACCCAATCCTCTCCACCCCATCTGGTTGCCATCTGCCACCCCCCCCCTCCCCCCGCTCCACTCCCCTTTAGTTTACCCTAGCACAGCTGGGGCAGACCAACCTCCTCCGTGGGATTTTCACCACCAGCCAAAGGAAAGGAAAAGAATTTATTATCAGAAGTACAAAATGATTACATCTGATGAGGATTCTAGAACTCTGTTTTCTGATAAAACTCCATCCTCATCAAACCAGTAACCCCCTGCCCCAGCTTCTCCCTACCTCCCATCCTAAAAGATTCTATTGTGACTAATGATCAATTTTTAGATTCCTTGTAAGGCTCTTGCCTCCATCCAATCTCGTCTGCACTTACTGTGGATCAGAGACTAGGCTAAGAGCATGACACATACTGTCTCATTCAATCCTCAAAACCATCCTACAAGGCCAGTAGAATTATCCATAATTTACCCTTGAGGAAATAGCTCTTGAAAAGTTAGATGTCTTGTTCAAGGCTCCACTGATTGTAAGCGGGGTGAGGATTTGAACCCAGCATGCTGACTACAGTTGCCTGATTTTGCACAAGTGAAGCATCCTTCTCTTCAAGATACACAAATGGGTTGGGGAAGCAGGGTTTTATACATCTACCCATTACATTTCTAAGTAGAACGATTTATGTGTAACGCGTGCAATAAGCACACAACAAGAAGAGGGCCAGTCTCATATAATCTCCTTCAACAATAATGAATCTCACTTTCCATTTTTGGAGACCTGGGAGTTCATGCCCTCTAGCTGGTGCCTTACCTTGTGAGTGGTCAGTGGAGAGTCTTCAGCAGAAAGGCTGTTCACCGCAGAGATGGAGAGAAAGGTGAGGTTGGGTGAATCCACATCTGCACTTGGCAATGAGGACGAGGTGGAGACACCTCCCCAGGCCCACCTCCCCCCGCAAATAGGAAACCAGCCGGTAAGGGCAGCGGCCCTTTCCCTGGGCATGGCCAAAGGCAGAGGTCTTTTCTGGGGGATGATGAGTGGTGTGGCCAGGTGGGGATGGGCTGTGGCTGGCAAACAGGAACTGCAGCGTGCAACAGGAGGGTTCAGCAGAAGGGGAAGCCGTGTGGGGGGCTGACACTGCAGAGTGCATTTGGCTTTCAGGAAGTAAAGGGGGAGAAGAGAAGGAACAGAAATGGACAGATGAGGAAAAGGAGGGAATGGCAGGACTGCAGGCATTTGAGTCCTTGCCAGGCCCCTGGGCTGGCTTGCTCTCTGCCCTGGCCGCCTCTGGAATCCAGGCCCCACTGATACCACCTGGGAGGAGTGGAGCAAGAAGAGGATGTGACCTTGAGCTCTGCCTAGAAGAGAGCACCACGCCTCCTCCTTACTTGAGCCCTACTCCTCACCTGTCCAGCCCCAGCTCTTCCCTCCAAAAAAAGAAAGAGAAGATTGGTAGAGTAATGGTCCAGTTTTTTATTTAGAAACCTGATTGTTCAAGAACATGATGGGCGGGCCTGTAACCCACCCTTTTCACTGGATTGTATCAGAGGTGGTGGGCAACTTTTTCCTATTTCTCAGCAACAGAGGAAGGTGCAACTCAGATGGTAGGGAACAGTACGGAAGGAAAAGGAGCAGGAAATCCCAAGCCAATCCAAAGGAAGGGGGTAGGTGACTCCCAACGGCAGCAGGGGCAGGGTGGGGCCTGTCTCTTAGGGCCTGCTACACAGCACAGGCTTCATGCTCCCCCTGCTCTACTCTGTTCAAAAGATCTCTAGGGAGGCAGGGGGTGGGGGGTGGGGGTGGGGGTGGAGAGAGGGACAGGGACCAGCTGTGGGGAGGAGCCTGGGAGAGCAACACTCACAGGCCTAGGGAGGTCTTCAGGGAAGCTCTCAGCAGTAGCAGCAGCACTCACCCCATGGCCCCTCCACACCCTGGCTGGGGGCCCGGAAGTCCACAGCTCAGCGCTACTCTGCTGTTTTGCCTTCAGGGTCTCAGGGGGTAGGAGATGGGGGAGGCAGTGGGGCCAGCTGAGGAAGACTCTGGACTCCTTGGTGAACCGATGGTAGTAGTGGTCTCAGAAGTCAAACTCATCCAGGTCCCCCGTGCCCTCCCCGCCTCCAGAGCCCCACACCCTGCGGTAATTGCTCTCCAGCTCTTTCTGTCGCTGCCGTTCCTTCTGCGCCTCCTCGGCTCCCTGTACCTGGTAAGGGAGGGGGAAACAGGGTGAGCTGCAGGATCCAGAAACAGCAGCATGGGGAGGGCAGGAATGGGGCTCTTGCCAAGGGCCCGAACGCCCAGCTGCCTGGACCACAGCCTGCCTTACAGATGAGGAGACTGAAGCTCAGAAAGTGGCAAGGCTGGGATGCGCCTGTGTCACTCAGCCATGCTCTCCACACCACGGCGCACTAGGGGAGGGGGCGGGCTGGAGGCCCAGGACTTGGAGGTAGGATGCCTCTCACCAAGATATTGAAGAAAATCTCCTTAAGGTTTTTCGTGTCCTCATCAGTCAGCCAGCGTGTATCCTCCTCCGTCCCTTCAGACCCTGGCCGGACAATTTTGATCTCGATTTTCCCTGGAAAGAAGCAGGACGGGCAGTGAGAGGAGAGGAGTGGAGGAGCTTCAGTGCAGGTCCTCTGCCCCCCCCCCCTCCCCAACACCGCCTCCCAGGGCCCCATGTGCCAGGCTTCCAGTCCACCTGGACCCAGCCCGTTTCCAGCAGCAAACCCTTCCAACAGCGCGTAAGCCAGCCCCGCCCCCAGGGCCCACCTTCGGCTGTGAGCCCCTCCCTCTCCAGCAGCTCTTTCACCAGCCCCTCGATTTGTTTCAGCTGTGGGTTTTCCCGTTTCATCTCGAGGACTGTCAGATCCTGATTGGGGCCTCCGTGCCGGAGCTTGGTGACCCGGACCCGGACTCTGTGCTCGGGATCCTCCTCTTAGAGGGGGAGACACACAGGGAGACACAAAGCAGAGCTGTGACTCCAGGGTTAGGGGCTGCTGTGGTCACTTCTCCCCTAAGCCACCAATTGGTTCTGGCAATTATTCCACCTCAAACGTGTACATGAGCCAAATATGAGCCCAAATTAAATTAGTCCCCCCACCCATTCCAGCCTGCAAGCTCCCTCCGCCACTTGCAGCTCCCTTCTTCCATCCAGACCCAATAATTCTGCTCCTCACCTACAGTTCCTTCTCAAAAATCAAAAAGGTTTTGTTTAAAGAAGCAAGGCACGCTGAAACCGGTTTGGCTCAGTGGGTAGAGCGTCGGCCTGCGGACTGAAAGGTCCCGGGTTCGATTCCGGTCAAGGGCATGTACCTTGGTTGCGGGCACATCCCCGGTAGG